CCACCTCCCTCTCCCCTGGCGTGAGAAAGAAAGACACTCACCTTCATCCCCAGGAATGAAAGGTGGGCTCTGCATACACCTTCAAGCAGCCCGCAGCCTCTCTTGAACCCCACCTGATCCCCATGCTGTGTGTGTTTCTTCTTCATGGGGATGGCGCTGCCCCTTTGAAAAATGCCGCCCTAGGCAAAAACACCTTGTTTGCCTTGCGGTAAATACGCCACTGACCGTAACTTTTTTTTGGTCAGTTCCATAATAAATTTGAGGCCCCAAAAAGATGTTGAACTCCTCCACTGTTAATGGTTTCCATTCATAGGGACGTGCAAATTATGAAGTTGGATTGTTGGCTATAAAATGTCGGTCATAAATGTGACGCTGGTCCACGATGGAACTTGATAAGTCACTGATGAAAACGAAATTTTAAAAAAATCAATGGGGGCAAAATTTCCTGTGTTGTTCTGGACACCAGGCTGTGAAGTAAAATGGGGGGGATATTAGCTGCCCCTGAGTTAGGGGGAAGCCATGCAGGGTTTTCCAGGGCATATGGAAGGCTGGCATGGGCCCTAACCCTTTGGGGCTGACATGGCACCCCAGTAGTACCCGGCCTTTCATGCAAAGGTATTCTACTACTGGTGGTTGCCACTGCAATACTGGTGGTAGCCTGCTCCTCACCAGAACACCTTCGTTTGGTGGGCGCCCTTTTCCTCCTCCTCTGATTCTGTTACAGATCCACTGCTTAAAATCGGTCAGTATTCAGAATCAGAGAGAGTTGCCCACTGCTCTTGTTGGTCATACTTGGGATTTGGTATGCCTCCTCACCAGTAATTATTTTTTTTAGATATAGTGGTGACTGTGAGCTGTGGGGACACACTGCTGTGATGGGTGCTGATGGGCACTGGTCAGACTGAACTGATGGGCACTAGTGAGGCTGCACTGAATGGTGCTGATGGGCACTGGTCAGACTGAACTGATGGGCACTGGTGAGGCTGCACTGAATGGTGCTGATGGGCACTGGTCAGACTGAACTGATGGGCACTGGTGAGGCTGTACTGATGGGCACTGGTCAGACTGAACTGATCGGCACTGGTGAGGCTGCACTGATGGGTGCTGATGGGCACTGGTCAGACTGAACTGATGGACACTAGTGAGGCTGCACTGATGGGTGCTGATGGGCACTGGTCAGACTGAACTGATGGACACTAGTGAGGCTGCACTGATGGGGCTGTTCTGATGGGTGCTGATGAGGCTGTTCTGATGGGTGCTGATGGACACTGTTTAGACTGAATTGATGGTCACTAGTGAGGCTGCACTGATGGGCACTGGTCAGACTGAACTAATGGATACTGGTGAGGCTGCACTGATGGGTGCTGATGGGCATTGGTCCGACTGAACTGGTGGGTGCTGATGGGCACTAATCAGACTGAACTGATGGGCACTGGTGAGGCTGTACTGATGGGTGCTGATGGGCACTGGTCAGATTGAACTGATGGGCACTAGTGAGGCTGCACTGATGAGGCTGTTCGGATGGGTGCTGATGAGGCTGTTCTGATGGGCACTGGTAAGACTGAACTGATGAGCACTGGTGAGGCTGCACTCATGGGTGCTGATGGGCACCTATCAGGCTGCACTAATGGGCACTGATGAGGTTACACGAGGTGCACTGCGGCTGCACTGATGGAGCTCCACTGATAGGACGGCACTGATATGCAATGATAAGCAGCACTGGTGAGGCAGTACTGGATGGGCACTGTGAAATATACTCATAGTCCTGGCACAGATCAGTCTCCTTCCCTCACACGTGGTCTCTGTGTGAGAGAAGGAGACCTGTCAACCCTCTGATGACCCTGCTTTGTTTACATTTGTGATTGGGCACAGCATTCACGGGGTAAGGGCCCCCTGTGATTGGCCCTTTACCGCGATCTGTGATGCGCTTTGTCCAAGGCACACAGCGATCACAGATAGTTCCTGAAGCTTGTTCTCGGGAAGACATCCATGGACGCCCTCCCGGAACGAGAGAGCCGCGCTGTAGCCTTCTTTCGGCTATGAAGTCTATAAAATGGAAAATACTGCATTTGGTCATTGAATGGCGCTATGTCCGATGCTACTTAGTGCCATTTAATGGCCAAATGCAATATTTTCTATGTTAAACCAGTGGTTGGGTTCGACGCTGTTGGTTGAACTAACTTTTGTCCTTCGATGTCTGCTGTACTCATCAGAGCATGAAAACGATCTCCGTTATGGAATTTGTATGAAACCATGCCTGACAGAGGAAAGTAAGTTGAACAACAAACTGAAATAATCCAGTTGCATAAGTGTGCACACCCTTACACTGATCCTTTGGTGAAGACCCTTTTGATGTGATTCCGGCACTCAGTCTTTTTGGGGAGAAGTCTATCCTGACTAGGCAATATTTGGCCGCTCTTCCAAATCCATCCGATGGTGAGGGCATCTCCTGTGCACAACCCTCTTTAGATCGCCCCACAGATTGTCCATCGGATTCAGGTCTGGGCTCCGGCTGGGCCATTCCAGAACTTTCCTCTCCTTCTGGTGAAGCCATTCCTTTGTGGATTTGGATGGACTCTTTGGGTCGTTGTCATGCTGGAAGATGAAGTTCCTCTTGATGTTCAGCTTTCTAGCAGAAGCCCGAACGTTTTGTGCCGATATTGACCGGGATTTGCACCTGTTCATAATTCCCTCTACCTGGACTAAGGCCCCAGTCCCAGCTGAAGAAAAACATCCCAAAAGCACGATGCTGCCACCACCATGCTTCACGTGGGTATGGTGTTCTTTTGGTGATGGACAGTGTTGTTTTTGGCGCTAAAACATATTATTTGGAATTATGGCCAAAAAGTCCATCCTTGGTTCCATCATACCAGAACACATTTCCCCACATGCTTCTGGGAGACTTCAGATGTGTTTTTGCAGAATGTAGCCGGGCTTGGATGTTGTTCTTGGTAAGAAAAGGCTTCCGTCTTCCACTCCACCCCATAGCCCAGACATATGAAGAACACGGAGATTGGTGTCACATGGACCACACAGCCAGGACTTGCCAGATGTTCCTGCAGCTTCTTTCATGTTGCTGTAAGCATCTTGGCCGCCTCCCAGACCAGTTTTCTTCTCGTCTTTTCAACCATTTTGGAGGGATGTCCAGTTCTTGGTGATGTCACTGTTGGTGATGTCACTGTTGGTAACGTCACTGTTGATGTCACTGTTGCGCCATATTTCCTCCACTTGATGATGACTGTCTTCATTGTGTTCCATGATATATCTAATGCCTTGGAAATTCTTCTGTACCCTTCTCCTGATACCTTTTACCAGTGAGATCCCTCTGATGCTTTGGAAGCTCTCTGCAGACCATGATCTTTGCTGTAGGATGCGACTAAGAAAATGTCAGGAAAGACCGACTAGAACAGCTGAACTTTGTTAATGGTTCATCAGAGGCACTGTAAATGATGGCGGGTGTGTACTGATTCCTATTTACCATGATTGTGAATGTGATTGCTTCATTCTGAACCTAGCGACATCACCAGTTATAAAAGGGTGTGCCCACTTATGCAACCGCATTATTATAGTTTTTTATGTTTACTCCCCCCCTAAAAGATTTCAGTTTGTTGTTCAGCCGAGTTATACAGTTTATAGGTCACATTAAAGGTGGAAAAAGTTCTGAAATGATTCATCTTTGTCTCATTTTTTTACATCACAGAAACCTGACATTTTACCCGGGGCGTGAAGACTTTTTATATCCACTGTATCTCCACCAATACAAATAGTGTGATATGGCAATATGGCCACAAGAGTGCACCAAGGATCATAGGAAATCATTGTACAAAATAAAATACTTGTCATGGTCAGGGGAATGTGTTGCACATTCGTTTAATGAATTTTTCACTAATAGTGTTTGTGAAATCTCCCACCACAAAATGTACTCAGCCAATGACAGGTGAGGACGCCATTCATATTCTTCTCCTGCTATCAATGACCAACCCGCTCCCACACTTCATCCACGTCTTTGGTGACCTCTAACCTCCTTATGATGAAGATCAGCCATGGAGTATATCTGAGGTGTATATCAGGGTGTGCTTCTTCCCCACATGAGAACTGGGATGTCCAGCAACATTCATTTAGAAGACATTTCCCACACTCAAGGCTCTCATACACCTCCAGGGTTGTGTGGGACCCCAGGAAGACAGGACTTCAGTGAGGAACATTTCCTTCACTCAGGACAGGAACGTGACTTCTCCCCCATGTGCAATTTCTGATGGCTGAGAAGACTGGACTTCACTGAAAAACATTTCCCGCACTCAGAACAGGAATACGGCTTCTCCCCCCTGTGAGATCTCTGATGTCTGTAAAGAGTGGACTTCACTGAAAAACATCTCCCGCACTCAGGACAGGGATATGGCTTCTCCCCCGTGTGAGATCTCTGATGTGTGTGAAGAGTGGACTTCTGTGAAAAACATTTCCCGCACTCAGGACAGGAATACGGCTTCTCCCCCGTGTGACACCTCTGATGTTTGTCAAGATTAAACTTCTTTGAAAAACATTTCCCACACTCAGGACAGGAATATACGGCTTCTCCCCCGTGTGCAGTCTCTGGTGTTTATAAAAACTGGACTGATCTGAAAAACATTTCCCGCACTCAGAACAGGGATATGGCTTCTCCCTCATGTGCAATCTCTGATGTTTACAAAGACTTGATTTGTGTGAAAAACATTTCCCGCACTCAGGACAAGAATACGGCTTCTCCCCCCTGTGTGAGATCTCTGGTGTTTAAAAAAAACTGTACTTATCTGAGAAACATTTCCCACACTCAGAACAACAATACGGCTTTTCGCCTGTGTGAGATCTCAGATGTGTAACAAGTTCTGCATTTTTTACAAAACATTTCCCGCAATTAGAACAAGAATATGGCTTTTCTCCCGTATGCAGTCTCTGATGTGTGTAAAGATTAGACTTCTTTGAAAAACATTTCCCGCACTCAGGGCAACAATATGGCTTTTCCCCTGTGTGAGATCTCTGATGTGCGACAAGTTCTGATTTTTCTACAAAAGATTTCCAGCACTCAGAACAGGAATATGGCTTCTCTCCTGTGTGTGACCTCTGATGTTTGTTAAGAACAGACTTCTGTGTAAAACATTTCCCGCACTCCAGACAAGAATATGGCTTCTCTCCTGTGTGAGATCTTTTATGCACCTCAAGTTTGGATTTAAAACGGAAACACTTCCCACACTCAGGACAGGAATATGGTTTCGCACCTATGTGATATTTTAGATGCTCATTAAGTTTGTATTGAAAACGGAAACACTTCCCGCACTCAGTACAGGAGAACCTCTTGTCTGTTGGAAGGCTGGCCCCGTCCCGCACAGTCTGAGGTTCCTCAGGATACGAGGAATCCGATGGTCCATCTACACTGGGTGGTGCCGGATGGACATTGGAGGGAGCCGGGTTTTCTCCTGGACTATACTGTGTGATGTCCTCATCTTCTACTTTCCAGTCTGGAGACAAAGTGAGACAATCCTCGGAGGTTTTCCTCATCTCCCGGCCATGGACTAAAATACAAAGACAAAGAGGATTACTAGACAGGAGCTGATTGGTTCCCCCAAACCAGAAAGACAGAGAGAGATCCAATGAGAACCTTATCATCTGGACCAATCAGTGAGCAGTATGGGTGGAGGAATGGATTTAGTGTTCCTGACCCACCTGTGCTGATCTCTGTAGGAGTGTCCTCCTCTATAAATGTCCCCGTTATTCCATCCTCCTCCATAGACTGCTGATCATCCCTCACATACGCCTCTTCTTCTTCTGATTTCACCTCAAATTCTATATCGATTGGATCTCCACTCTACATCAGAGAGAAGGAGAGAAAATATCATCTGTAAGATAGAAGATTTATTATTGTGACATCACATAGAGAATCCGCACATCGTCTCCATGAGTCCATGTTCTAGATTCTCCGTCCCACCAACCTTGTAATAGTGAGGGATGGTGTGACCTTCCTGTGTGGAATCCCGGGAATACAGAGGGAGGGGACATCTCTCTGGTGGGTTGCTGGTATTAGGTGGCTCCATCATATCCTTGTGTCCTTCTGAAAACTCCTCCATCACTCCATACTCCTCATCCTCCTCTTTATACTCTTCTTTCACATCAATATTATCATCCCCAAGGATTCCACTCTGAATATATAATAAAACATTCAATGTAACAAACATGCTGTGTATAAATCACAACTACCAATAATTGTTCCTCATCTACCTGATGATGGTGAGGGATGGTGTGACCTTCCTGTGTGGAATCCTGGGAATACAGAGGACGGGGACATCTCTCTGGTGGGTTCCTGGTATTAGGTGGCTCCATCATTTCATTGGGTTCTTCTGAAACCTCCTCCATCTCTCCATGCTCCTCATCCTCCTCTTTATACTCTTCTTTTACGACAATATTATCATCCCCGAGGATTCCACTCTGAACATTCAAAAAGATATTCAATGTAACAAACATGCTTGTCATTTTAGCTATCAGTGATTGTTCCTCATCTACCTGATGATGGTGCGGGATGGTATGACCTTCCTGTGTGGAATCCCGGAAATAAAGAGGACATCTCTCTGGTGGGTTCCCATGACTGGATCCATCTACCGGATGATGGTGAGGGATGGTGTGACCTTCCTGTGTGGAATTCTGGGAATACAGAGGACAGGGACATCTCTCTGGTGGGTTCCCATGACTGGATCCACCTACCTGATGATGGTGGGGGGTGGTGTGACCTTCCTGTGTGGAATCCTGGAATACAGAGGATGGGGACATCTCTCTGGTGGGTTCCCATGACTGGATCCACCTACCTGATGACGTGAGGGATGGTGTGACCTTCCTGTGTGGAATCCCGAGAATACAGAAGACATCTCTCTGGTGGGTTCCCATGACTGGATCCATCTGTAGGAAACACACACACTGACTGAATCCATTGTTTCTATGTGTTTTATCAGATGATGGGGGATCTAGGTGGAGCCTCCGTACTGCTCTCTCCTTTCCAATAAAGTCTCCTCTTACCCGGTGATGTGAGAGGCGGCTGATTGTCCATCATGACGTCCTTGTAGAGGTCCTTGTGTCCTTCTAAATACTCCCACTCTAGAATCTTCTTCTTCTTTCTCTCTTCTATCAGGGAGGGAGGTGGAGGCAATGTGATGTCATGGGACAGACTTCACAGGAAGAAAACTCTAGATCTGAAACACAAATAGTGAAATCAAATGATATTCTCAGAATCCTCCTCACCTTCCCGGTCAGGTCTCCATTTTTTCCTCCACATGGAGGAGCTGTGAAGTCAGTGTGATGTCATAGGATTCTCTGACCCTGGTTGGAGGGACATTGGGAGGAGGAGCTGTGAGGTCAGTGTGATGTCATAGGATTCTCTGGATGGAGGGATATTGGGAGGAGGAGCTGTGAGGTCAGTGTGATGTCATAGTATTCTCTGACTCTGGATGGAGGGGACATTGGGAGGAGGAGCTGTGAGGTCAGTGTGATGTCATAGGATTCTCTGACTCTGGATGGAGGGACATTGGGAGGAGGAGCTGTGAGGTCATTGTGATGATGTAAAATTCTCTGACTCTGGTTGGAGGACATTGGGAGGAGGAGCTGTAGGGGCGCTCTATGAGGGTTCTGTACACAGAATCATTCCTCCTGGGTGCGTCCCACCTCTCCTAGACTGGAAGATGAACATTGTCTTTGGGCTTTGCCAGGACACATGGTATTCCTGTGATCTCCGTGTACTCAGAGACTTTACTCATCACATTTTAGGGTGAAACTGATCATTGTGGAAATTTCTTTTTCAGGACATTTACTACAAATGACATTTTTCCCTCTTTCTTCCTATTTGAATCTTATAGAATAAAGACATTTTTATTCCAACTCCCCTAAATATACCCCCCATCCCCCGCCACTAATAAAAGTGGTATAATCCATTTGTCAGGAGCGTGTTGCACTCCTGCTCCTCATTATATCATCCTGGTTTTAGCTATGATGCATTGTCCATCTGCAAGGTGATTGAGTGGGCAGAGACCAAACCTGATTTAAGCCAGCCAAGCCTGCAGTCTCATGCTTGTGATATTGTGTTTATAATGCGTGCTCCAAGCTCTCTGTCTGTCCTGCTGTTTTGCTTTGGTGTCTAGTAAAGGTGACTTTGCGTTGTAAGCGAGGAGACGTAGACCTCCGTAGTGTATCGGTGTGACATAGACCTCCGTAGAGTATCGGTGTGACGTAGACCTCCGTAGAGTATCGGTGTGACGTAGACCTCCGTAGAGTATCGGTGTGACGTAGACCTCCGTAGAGTATCGGCGTGACGTAGACCTCAGTAGTGTATCGGCGTGACGTAGACCTCCGTAGCGTATCGGCGTGACGTAGACCTACGTAGAGTATCGGCATGACGTAGACCTCCGTAGAGTATCGGTGTGACGTAGACCTCCGTAGAGTATCGGCGTGACGTAGACCTCCGTAGTGTATCGGCGTGACGTAGAGTATCAGTGTGACGTAGACCTCCATAGTGTATCGGTGTGACGTAGACCTCTGTAGTGTATCGGTGTGACGTAGACCTCCATAGCGTAACGGCGTGACGTAGACCTCCTTAGAGTATCGGCGTGACGTAGACCTCCTTAGAGTATCGGCATGACGTAGACCTCCGTAGTGTATCGGCGTGACGTAGACCTCCGTAGAGTATCGGCATGACGTAGACCTCCGTAGAGTATCGGCGTGACGTAGACCTCCGTAGTGTATCGGCGTGAAGTAGAGTATCAGTGTAACGTAGACCTCCATAGTGTATCGGTGTGACGTAGACCTCTGTAGTGTATCGTGTGTGAAGTAGACCTCCGTAGTGTATCGGTGTGAAGTAGACCTCCGTAGTGTATCGGTGTGACGTAGACCTCCGTAGTGTATCGGTGTGAAGTAGACTTCCGTAGTGTATCGGTGTGACGTAGACCTCCGTAGTGTATCGGTGTGACGTAGACCTCCGTAGTGTATCGGCGTGACGTAGACCTCCGTAGTGTATCGGCGTGACGTAGACCTCCGTAGTGTATCGGCGTGACGTAGACCTCCGTAGTGTATTGGCGTGACGTAGACCTCCGTAGTGTATCGGCGTGACGTAGACCTCCGTAGTGTATCGGCGTGACGTAGACCTCCATAGTGTATCGGCGTGCTCTTACTAAATGAAAATGCTGAACATAGAAACCATTACAATTAGGAATACAACACGAGACTGACAGATCTACCTATACCAAGCAAAATGCTGCCTCCTTCCTAGCCAATCCATGTGCTGTATACAACAGGAATACGCTGAAAAGGTGACCTAACTCAGGTTAGAGTGGGTTCACCATCTCCATAGGCAACACCAGGACCCAGGCTTACTCTACAGCAATTGCAGGAAATCGCCCGAAAGACTTCTTCTGTCAGAGATCTTCCTTGAAGTCATCTTAGAGTCCTCCTTGTCAGTTTAACCTGCTGACCTTTTATTTGAAAAGTTACCATCCCCACATGGGTGTAGCCCCTTTCACAATACAGTATTTCACACCCCGGTCACACTGATGCGATTTTGGCATGGCATGGCAAATCGTAAGCCGAGTCACACCCAGTGTGACTGGGGTGTAAGTGCCAGAAACATTCTCCAGTTGGACCTCAAGCTGGCACTGTGGTATGATACATGCCATAGGTCATATATGTCAAAAGTCAAGCTGTGCTTGGCTATGGTTACAGAACAATAGCCAACTGTCAACTGAAATACAGCAATGGTATCTATGTTACTGTCAGGGTCCTGTCCACGGCAGGAGTTCTGGAAGATCTGGCGTTTCTGCCAATACTCTACATGGCCGCAGAAGGACACATCAGCCTCAGTCTGGTGCCAGACGGCCTTTATAAGGAGGCTCATCACTTCCTCTGGTTGCTGAATGATCTCTAGCTCCCCATGCCCTGTTCCTGGTTCCTGTTTCCTGCTTCCTGTGGTTCTGACTTGTGATTTCCTGTTACCGACTCAGCTTGTTCCTGGACCTGTCTACTCTGATTTATCCCTGGCTTACGGATACTTTCTCTCTCTCTCCTCTGTGAATGACCTCAGCTTTCCCATCTGACTACGTCTGCTCTGATTCCCACCTGGTACCTGACCTTGGCTTGAACTGACTACCCAGTAAACATCCAAATCCCGAAAGGGCTTGCATACCACGCACATGCGCCTCCTGTCTGCAAACCTATCTCCATGCACCAGCTGTGCTTCTGAGGGGACCACCAAC